ATCAATCGAATGTCAAGCAGTATTAAGATTTACAAATTAATTCGTGCTTGGTTTAGGAATTATTAGTGTGAAACTAAATTTCAAAGGAGTAAATCTCAAGTTACGTAGTTCGGGAACGCATTTCAAGAATTTATCGAACCAAAAACTAACGAATTGGGCAAACTGGGCATTAATAAGGTCGCTGTATCGTCAACAAAATACTATATATAATAATATGTTAGTCAAGAAACAGTGTTTAAAAAGACATAGAAAGAAATGGATGGATTACATGAAAGATGACATGATTAAAAAAGGAGGGATGACGGAGATGACGTATGATAGAGTTATTTGGAAGACAGAAACCTCTTGTGCCCACCTTACGGGAGTAGGATATGATGATGAGTGTTTATGCAAATAGATGTTATATTTTCTGTTTGTTTAACATAGACAAACTAGCATCCAAGGAAATGTACTGCTGAATGATGGTGAGAATCAAATGATCTTGTAGATAAACGTCGATAAACTGCCACGAACATAAAGCCGTCTGACATGTCAATAGGGATATGTTCCTTGGATCGAGACAACTTACGAATTATTGCAACGGACTTTGAACTTTGTACACAATAGCAGAGGTACTATTATCGTAGATTGATAGAATACATCTTGTCAGTAATCCTGGAGTCGATCGTAATTTCGAGGTTTAGTTTCGTCTTTGATGTATTTAGTAAGAGCTGTTCATATGATGATTTGATATGATGATTATAAGTTGCCCTTCTAAAACCAACTAGTTTTTGCTAACTTCGTTCACGTGGAATTAAAAAAATCGTAACAAAATATAGCCTATGTTACTCAGTGATATTGTAGCTTTTTGAAATGTGAAAGATTTTTTTAAATCGGCCTAATTTTAGAGTTATTTCTAGATCTCGACTAGTTTTAAGTAAAAGCTTTTTATTTCGCTTGAATTAGATGAAAAGATTTAATGCTTTTAGACTTGATTGAATTTATCCTAATTTGTTAATCATTTTAAGTTATTTTTGGATGTTTCTGTGGATTATTTTATCTGGTAATATCATCTCTATAGAGATGTGTCTATCGGTGTCAGTGACGCACTTGCGGCAGTGAGATTAGCGGGTGACGTCCGCCGGCAACGCGACTTAACTGCAGGTTAAATTTAACTGGACTCGGCGCCGATCTTATGTTCTTCCTTATGTATTTACTATTTCCGTATTACAATTTCACACACTAACTTATTGACAAGTTTTTTTTTTCGGTAAAATGGTAATTGTACGAAAAATATGTTACCAGTTGTTGCTCGCGATTTCGTCTGTGTGGAATTAAAAAAAATAATAAAAATATTGCCTATGTTACTCACTGATAACGTAGCTTTTTAATAGTGCAGATTTTTTTTTAAATCGGACCAGTACAAAAATACAAATCTTTTCTCTTTATAACATTAGTGTAGACTAGTTTGCTCGCGACTTCGTCCGCGTTGAATAAAAAAAAAATAATAAAAAATATAGCCTATGTTACTTAAAGAATTTTCGAAATCGGACCAGTAGTTTTTGTGTTCTTCCAGACTATCCTCTATAGCAAATTTCATCGTGATCCGTTCAGTAGGTTACTAACTCTAACAAACATCCATCCATCTAAACTTTCGCATTTATAATATTAGTAAGAACGATATTTTCAAATGAGTGTTCAAAGTTCAAATTTCGTGATTCAAAATAGGCATGCGGTACAGCACCGTACAAACGCCCTCTATCCCCTTGTTTGCCAATTATATGTTTTTTGTTTGCGCCGAACTCGACTCGGTCAGCGTTTTAATTCACGGCGGATCAGTTATACGAGAACGGGGGATCTAATTCTTGCTTTTTTATTTCACTTTTAATACACAACTGAATTTGATACATTTAATTGTCATTTTCTTTGTGTGAAGTATTTGTATGGTTTTTTTATAGTTATTTGTTTTGTGGTACTTAGATAATAAAATAAGGCAAAAAGTATGAATTGTTATTAGTTTTATGTCATTATAAGTACAATTGTAAAGGTTCTATTTTTGTTATTTTTATAGAATTAAGACAGTTAGAATGGACGCTAGTTTTTAATTAAAAAAAAACTAAGTAAATCCTGCTTGATAATGTATGTAACACATCTAAAAATTCACATAAGGGGCCTATTAATATATAAAAATGCAGCATCAAATGCGACCCCTAAAAAATGTCAACAGTCCATTAAAAGCGTCCCCTGGTCCTTCAAGCGTCCAATCGGACCCTAGTTTCAACATTGGATATTATTTTTAATCCCTTAATGGCGTCCCAGATTTGATTACGGGGGTTGCGCTGATTAAAAGGGTGGGACGAGATTTTTTTTCTGTTATTTTATGGTCTCGTATTTATTCGGGGGCGATATTACTCGCATGGTTGAAAAGTATTAATTGGCAAATGTTTTGGTCGTTAGAAAAGTTGGATGTTAACTCTCGCTACGTAAATTTCAGTATTCGAAATTATATTTTACAATTTTACTTGTGTAACTCGAGTTATATTTGTCAGTATTGTAATATTATTTGAAGAATGCGACAAAATCTGGAAGTCATTCAGTTTTAAATAAGTTTTCGATATATAAATCTTCTTAAGTTCATATAGATGGAGGTTTGTTAGAGTTTGTAACCTTATGCTGAACGGATTTCGACGAAATTTGGCATAGAAGTAGAGGATAATCTGGAAGAACACATAGGCTACGTGCAATTGTTTTTTTAAATTCCTGCGCGGACGGACTCGCAGGCAAAAGCTAGTAATAACTATGAATAGAACTTTATACTTTTGATTGGATTTAAGCACATATAGGATATTTTTATTTATTCCACGCGGATGGAGTCGTGGGCCAAAGCTAGCCAATACATGAATATTACAAAAGATGTCTATGGTACCAGGACATCATAAATTTGTCTGTAATCAATTCACAATTTACCTCAAATAAGTGAGCACACTGGACAATAACACCAACCAACTCCTATAGCTTTCGTATCGTTTTTGTAACGCATTTACAAATGAATGTATGTTAGCGTTTTAAAGTTCACACATTACGAGGTTATTGTTATTGTAAAAGTGGCGACGTGAGTGCTAAGGGGGCAAACATCCGCTGGTGGTCCAAACCGAAGACCACTACTGTATCTAAACATTGCATTAGTCTGACATTAAAGACAAAAATGACGTAAGTGCTGCACTAAAGGATACAGGACGTTAGTGTTAGGGATGTGTACAGGATAGTCGGCGCACCAAAGATGGTCTGTGTAAGATACTAATTAGTAGGTCCCGGAGACCTCCGCCGCGTGGCGCTATGGCGACGTCCAAGCTTGTGTTTGTTCTAATAATAGACAAATGGCTTTTCGACGCGATTCTTGTGTCACTTCTCGAAGTTTCTTATTTGGAATATCACATAATTCGATTTTAAATCTGGTACTTTTTTATTGTTAAATAAATAAACGTTTGTTTGTTTCCATGAACCTAAATACGCGTTAGTTTTTAACAATATCTTGCTTGAGTATTCTTAGAGCGGGCGCACAACTGTTGTGCGCTTTTCGATTCTTTCTCTGCCAATTCAACATAAGATTGTACAACTAAAAATCGAGTAGTGTGGGTAGGTACGCATGTTATGGAGATATGTGGAATGGAAAGCGTAACTAAATAGTTGTGCGACAGTTTGATTAAAAGTGTGCGCGCGCTTCTCGGACGTAAAATATATGTAACCTAAAAAATCCGTTGCCAAATATTCTTGCTGTCAGCGGCGAAACTGGAACATAAACATTCACAGGTAACACTCATAAACAAAGCTATAAAACGACACTATTTCGTATGCCACTGGCAGCAGACATAAAAAAAATCGGTCGCGTCGGCATCGCAGGACACATTAGCACGGTATAAGCAAACTGTTTAAAAGCTACCGGGGTACGCAGAGTCAATGTTTGTTCTGACCGCTCTACCGTCTATGGCCTGCGATCATATTGTCATAATGTTTTTTATCCTTTCAGTATACCATAGAGGTATTGTAAATTGTCTATGGAAACATAAAAACTTACCTGTCGCTAAAAGAGGAATTTTTAATAGATTTGTAACATTCCGATGTTTTTATGTTTATAAAAACACTAGCGTCGCCCGCGACTCTACACGCGGAATTAAAAATTATAATACCGACTATATTTGTACCGAAATTCATCCAGACCTAATGAGCCGTTCTGGAGATAACTTCTAACAAACTTCCATCCATCCATTGAAACGTTCATATTTATAATTAAGACAAATAATGTTGTAAGATATGTGGTTTTATTATCTGAAAGCAGAACAAAAGACGTAATTTTTATATTAAACCGAATTAAATCCATTTTGTTAGGATAAAAAAGTGTTATTTTTACAACTATGCGAGAGTTGGATGGTTGATATTTGTTACTATGTGTATTTAAAACGCCTTAACGGATCTTTACGAAATTTGACTCAGATTTAGAACATAACGTATATTACGTTTGCTAATTCATAAGTATTTATTTCCGCGCAGACGAAGTCGCGGACAAAAACTAGTAAATAACAATTTTCAACGATCTGTAAAACATAAAATATCGGATAATTAGACAAACTCCAATTTACATTTTATTTTTTTAATGCAGTTTTTTGTCATCACAAAACCTTCCAATAAATGACCTCAGAAGTTTTACGACGTCAACAAACTTTATTCTTACAATTTCCACTTCCTAAAATGGACCTTCGTCGTCTGTGATAAAGATTGCGGGGGCTTTACTTGATATTTGTTTATGTTTGAAAAATGCCGAATGAATCACTTTGACGCATAAAAGTTACGAATTAAAAAGGACAACAACGGACAAAGAGACCATTTTGCATTGTGCTGTGACACTACTCCTTATGATGCCGCACTTTAGCATTACAAATCTAACAGAAGTGGCAAAAGATTAAACTCATTCTTTTTTATCTACATTATCTGTGATATTTACTAAGTATACTGTTGTTCTATAGATACCATGGATACAAGGATCAGTTGCCGTCATCATTGGTACCTGTACTGGCTTCGCCCGCGACTCCGTCCGCGCGGAATTAGGAAAAAACCAAGTAAGACTTTGTGTTTTTCCAAACTATGTTCTACAACTATGTATCAAGCAAATATCCATCCATTTGAATTTTCGAATTTATAGTATTAGTAGTATGGTGGAATAAAACAATAATTCAGGAAAGTTTTTCTTAAAACCTACTACTATCTTATTTTTTTAATTACTTAAACACTTCCTTCTTGATAAAAACGAAAAATAATTTTATTTAAATCTTTTCCTAAAGGCACTTCTATACAATTGCTAGCTCTGTAAAAGGCATCAATAGTTCTTTGTACGCGGTCGGTGTAAATTTGGCCCCTCAGTGTCGCCGCGGTCATTTTAACACTGCACCGCTAATTGGACACTTAAGGTCCGTCTTAAAGGGTCACTTAAAACAGTTTTATCCATGGTCCCTCGAGCCGGACACGCACCGCGTTGATCTTGCCGCCGCTATCGGCTTCGTGTTCTTGTATTAGGCATTTTTATTACGAGATTATTAATAAAAAGATTACGTTTATTAGTGAAATGCTTTGACGGATTAAAATTGGGCTTGAAATTAATGTCTTTACAACATCAATGCATCATTTTACTAATTTTACCACAATATTTACGATTTTTTCTGATGATTTTTCAAGACACGAATTAATTTGTGTTAATCATATCAAGTACCTTACGAGCATATTTTATCTGATGAAGTATTTTCTGACATTAAGATGCGTTTTTCATATAAGAAGAGTGTTAACTGTTTTCATCCGAGGGATTATCACGAATAGAGAACGTTTACGAAACGTGATCGATATAATTTTTATTACATTCATGTCTTCACGCCCGACGTTTAGAACAAGAAATCTCATACGAATTTTGTAGATGACGTAACGACTACATTATCACAAACATTCGTAATAGACTCTCTATTTCCAGATATGTGGACGAACTAACCAACACATAATAACTTGAAATAGTGCTAATATGAACATTATGGGTACATTAATTATAACTTACATTCTAATATATTTCACATCGAAATTATTTAGACGTGTAAGTCTGTATGGAGTGTTAATGAGATTGTCACATTTAGTGACAATTGAAGACAGTGAACACAAAGTTCAAAGAAACATTTACCGTTGCAATTTAAACCTTAACTCAACGAGGTAAAGCATAATTTAAACAAATGAAGTGTGACTTTCAAATTAGTGAATCAACTTTAATTAGACGAAAAATCTTACCAATGTATAGTTTTGACATAAATTATAAGATAAAATAAATCTTGATTCACTACTTTATACGAAAAATATTAAAAAAAGTAAAAAATATCGAAGAGTACAAACTTTCCGCTTTAAAACTCCCGACAAAATTATTTGACAAATTTTACTATCATCCAATTATTTAATAACATTGGCAATTTTGCAACAAAAATATTATCTAAAACCTTGACGACATTACGAAGGGTTGGACAATCTCTTCCTTTATCTAATAAACTTAAGATGTACATTATTCCATTATAAACGGGACCATTTCTATAGACCCCTCTGTTTAACCCCATAATACCAACGTCATAGACATTCAAGAGATCATGAGAGTTTTGTACATCGCTTTCAAAACTTGAGGGGCATTGAATAGCCTTAAGTCACGCTATACATGAATTAAGGCATCTATCGCAGCCATGGGTTACTGTAGACATATTTTCGTTTATCCGTAAAACAACCTTGATTTGATGGTTACACTAATATAAAAGATATGTTCCCTCTGCAATACGCCACCTAGCCCTCAATTTGCAAAACAAATTAACCCTCCTTAGCGACGACTCGTTCACTTCGAATTCGCCCTTTTACATTGAATTAATAACTAGAAAGTTTTAGCAAAAAACTTCTACGATGATATGGAGATTTATTTGAACAATGGCATACGGCCTAAGAAATAGAACAGGAATATAGGAATAGCTAGCGACGCTAGGTGGGTGAGGAAAGTCCTCGAATGTAGGCCTCGAAAGGTGAACAAGAGCATAGGGCGTCCTCCATCCATGTGGAATGACTTAGTGCGCACGGCCGAAAGTCTTGGATGGGGAAGGCGGAGGACCGTATTCTATGGAAGGTATTGGGGAAGACCTATGTCCAACCGTGGGCAGATAAAGACTATTGATGATGATGATGATGATGATGATGATGATGAGAATAGAACACCTCTATTGTAATTGTACAATAATTATATTCAATATTTAGTTTAACTTTCTAATATTAAATTAAACATAGTACGCAACCAATCTGCATCCGACTATTGTCACTAATTGATTCTCGATATGTCCACTAATGGGTAATCCGATAATCATATTAGGGTGTTCAGTGGCACAGCATAATGGACTAGACACAGGGGAGATCGCTGTGATACATATAAGTTCGTACATATGTATATATGAAATAGAATATATAAAGAGTTAGAACCTATACGTATAATAAAATTCGAGTGTCTGTTTGTAATATCAAAAGTAAAAATTCCAGAATTTAGGAAAATGGTGTATTTGCGTTGCTGTGAACAAAAATCGCATCTAAAATACTTTTGTCTGTCTGTCCGCAAGCCGCGTTTATTCCGGTAATCTCCGAAACGGCTGGGCCGATTTTGACCTGACTTTCACTGAAGGGTACCTGATGTATACGGGCATATTATAGACTACTTTTTATCTTTATATTCCTGGACAAAGGCGCGGGCAACTGCTAGTCTATAACATAAAACTTATAAGAAAAATAAGAGGTTTTTAGAGAGGAAAAAAAAAAACTATTTGCTACCAGAAAGACAAAAATAGCTTGCTTTATTTGGGTACATGGCTCGTAAATTCACGAAATATGAAAGATATCAACCTTGTAAGATAACAGATAAAACAATGCATTAATAGCGCGAGTTGCAAGGACGAGGTAACGTGAGAAACGCCATCTGTCGGTGCTGATAAACGCCTACCGATTTTCCTTTAATGTCTTTAATATTCCACCCTACCTTTTGAACACACGAAACAAATTGTCGTACAATTTTATCTTAAGATAATGAAACTTTTCTTCATTTTTAAATTTAATAACTACAATTGAAAAACTTTTTAACCATTCGTTAGTGTTTTATTTCGATAACTTCGTGAAATGAGTTTCCGAAATACCTTACTTTCGTTTAACGGGGAAATAGGTCAACCAAACACATAGAGACTTTAGCCAACATAAAGGACATAAACAAAAAGCGACGTCTTCCTTCACAACACCGATTCTGCGTCACCGAGTTTGATGTTTACGGAGAATCCTGATTAATAACCACCCTTCTGAATTAATAACAGTGGTAATTGAGATGTTTGCGGGCTGGGGCCGTGCCCCTTGTTATTTGAGCAAGGATTCATATTTAGTCATCCGAAATTATGCTGAGACGCCGCCATTTTAAATTCAGATCTGTAGGAGTGATGTACGGGTTCTCTTACCTCATTGTTACGTTACGAAGGGTTGATATTATGCGGTAAAATATACTTTGACATCATTATTTTGTCAGACGTGCTGTATTTATAACTAACCATGTTTCAATCTATTGTAACTTAGTACCTGTTACTGGACTGTCGATGTAATTCCTTTAAACATGAACGAGACTAGAGTTGTTGGTTATCGATCAAGTTAACAAACTTAGTCCCGCTATCGATATTGCAGTTATGCGTTACAGTCTGTTACCAACTATGAGAAGTTCGTGCATGCCGAGATAGTTTACCAGTATATATGATGTTAAATTTCAATGAGAATCTCTCTTTCTCTCTCTCTCTCTCTCTCTCTCTTATCATTTGTCTGCATTCAATTAAGCATTCACCGTTGTTATTTAATTTGCGTTTCATTAATTTATACAAAAACATCCGAACACTTTTGCATTCACGTGCCCACGTACAGTCACGAACAAAGAGCGTACAAACAAAAAAGTGCTCAAACATTCAAAAGTCAAATTACTATTCATGTATTTTTCCACAAAACAAATTACATTGCACTCGACGTCGTTGAAAAGATTCTTTAAAAGCCCTGTCATTTCGAAACACCGAGTGTTTTACCCTTAACCCCCTCCAAACTACCCTTAACTAGTAGAGGAGGCGGCAAAAAAAATAATACACCCACTTTTAATTCAGTATTTCAGAGCGACAGTTGACACAAAGGATGGATTATTAAAGGGGTAATATAGGGCTGCGACAGGCTACGAAGGGTTAATTGCTATGGGTGCACAAGGGCTGTGTACACATAGAGCAGGGGTACAGAAAGTACAATTATTAAATATGGTGGAACGTTTGATTTCAATTCATATAAGCAGCGGAAAGACTGAAAAAAGTTTTTACTAATTCATAAGTAACATTCGACTAGAAATAATTCGTAAATAAATCGTTACTTCTTACTAATCTCATAAATGCGAAAGTTGGGATGGATGTTTGTTTAGAGTTTGTAGCCTAAGTAGTAAAAAGGATCTCGGTGAAATTTGGTATATATGTAGAGTACAGTCTGGAGGAACACATAAGCTACTTTCTTTTGTTTTTTTAATCTACGTAGACGAAGGCGCGGGCGAAAGCTCACAAAGTTCATAATTGTATTCTTGAAATAAAAGTTGATAATTTGATTTAAAAAAAAACACAAAAAAAATGTTAATTACACCATACGGTATACTAATACTATAAATGCGAAAGTTTAGATGGATGGATGGATGTTTGTTAGAGTTTGTAGCCTAAACGGCTGAAAGGTTTTACATTAGGTATAAATGTAGAAGTTAGTCTGGAAGAACACACAGGCTACTCACTTTTGTTTTTTTATTCCACGCGGACGGAGTCGCGGGCGTAAGCTAGTACTTCTATAAATAGAAAAAAATTACTGCATTATGACCCTTAAATGCATAAAAATTAACGAAATTATTACATCAATAATGCAGATATGAATTTTTAATAATATAGCGTGTCGATAATACCTCTGAATGTACGATAATACACGAATTATTACAATTTACGAACACTGCGGTTTGC